ATTTGTTAGCAGATTATTCTCCAGATCTAAGAAAAAACAACCTTATCTGCATGGATCTGGAAACTATACTGTAGATACAACAAACAAAAATGATTTTCCAGTACAATTGATTGCTTTAAAAAAAAAAAGAAAAAACGCCTTGAGTCTTATGCCCCCTAGCTCCAACTACCACGTTATGAATTCAGAATCAAGTAAATTGTTTTGTCTCAAAATTCGCAATAAGTAAACAATTGCTAGATTGAAATACATACTCAACTAATGAATGCAATTAAAACCCATATACCCATTTTTTCTCTCTTCCGAAATTTATCAGAAAACTCAAAAAATCATTCAAATTCTCAATAAAAACGCAGAAAAGATAAGAACTTGAAACGCTTCCTCTGTCACAGAAGTAAAAGTCATGAACTCACAGTGCTTCTCCTCTGCTCAGCCGCAACAGCAAGACCAAAAGCGATGAGATCGAGCACAAATACTGAAATCATAATCAGCTTTGAAGCCATGGTAACGCAGTTTCAATACTCAACAAGATCTTTTTTTTTTTTCTCTCTTTTCTCTTTTCTCTCTATCTAGGCTCTACTTTTCTCTCTCAATTCTGCCTCTATAAATACACACACGATAAAAATCCATGTATTGAAGAAGCAATGGAAAACAACTTAAAACAGAGTGTAAAAATACGGAAATTGTTTTTCAAAAGAAGAAGTAATTTTCATAGGAAAAGGACTCCACACCGACGTATGATGAAATTGTTTCACCTGCCATGATAAGGGGTCTTAAAAAGACAGGAAAACTTATGGTAGGAAAGGGCAATGAGAGGAATCAGGGTACAACACGTTAAAGCGCATAATGCAAGTCTATCATGGCGAGGTTCCTTCCTCCATGGAAGAGAAGTTGGAAAAGGGGGTGTTTCGGTTGGGTATTTAAAAGAAAAAAGAGGGAGGTTTATTCTTTTGTTTAATTATTTTTTTTTTAATTTGAGTTGTATGAGATGAACCATCCTAAACTTATGCTTTTCTTTTACAACATCATTAACAAAGTGTTTGGTTCATGGTTTGGTAAATAATTATTAATAATTAATATTAATTAAATATTTTAAATTATAAATAATAATTATTAATTATCAACTATTAATTATAAATTATTAATTATATCTAAACAGTTAATTTAAATACCTCTAAATTTTTTTTGACAAAATACTTATTTTTTTAAAGTGTGTTTTGTTATAGAGATTTTTTTATTTAAAAAAATTTAGAGATATTTTTATATTTTCAAACCTCCATATTATAATAAATAAAGGTTAAATTGATATTTTTAATATTTATTTTTCTTAATATAATTTTTAATCAATAATCTTTTCTTATCGCATCTTGTTAAATAAAAAAAATTTTATCCCAACTTTTCAAATGTAAGAACTACCTAACAACCTTTTTTTAACTTTCTTAATATTATTTTTTTTATTAAACTTAAAAAGGATGGTAACCTAACCAAGTTTCATTAAAATTTTATATAATACTTCTTTTAATTATTTTTATAATAACACTTGAAATCTTATAACTCAACAATTATAAATCAAGTTATAAAGTACATCTTTCAACTCAAAAGTTAAAATTCAAATCTCTACTCTAAATGTAAATTTGTTAAAAAAAGAAGAAGCTATTTTTACAATAAAAATTGTACCTAACCAGAACCGAGCAGCCCAAATGAAAAGTTAGTTGGAAGGGGTATTTTTTTTCTTTTGTGGTGAATGAGATTCCAACTTGAAGTTGAATTCACAGAGTTTGTAGGCGTAAGGTACAAGTAGCGGAAGCAAGGGGTTCCGTGTTCAGAAAGTGGAGTCGGTTATACTTCAAGTGTCTTAATGAAAGGGAATCGGCACCCGCCATAATTTCTAACCGCTGTTTGGTATT